ATGCTGATCAATGGCCTCCTTTTTTGATGGTTCTTCCAAGCACAAAAATAGTGACTTGTGCTTTGGGAACGGAGCGATTTGTAGTGCAATGGGGAACAGACAATGGCCTTTCCTGTCTGTTTTCCATTAGACTTGGATAAAGGCCTTTGCTACCCACAGCCAGCGGCCAAAAAAATTCTGTATGTGCTCCATAGCTATTTTGAGGTTATTTGCTATCCTGCAAGAGTAGAGGAAGTGCAAGGTTTTAAATGTTAAGATTTCCTACCAAGTGTGCTGCTCTGGTCAGCTCACATTCTCTCCAGTTCTGGCTGCAAGAACAAACAGCCCAGCCAGAGGTCAAGCAGTAAATGAAACCAGTGGATGACTTCGGGTAACTACAAAAATTGAATGTTGAATGAAAATGAGACTCCTCAGATCAGTCCTTTGCACTGAAGTGGTTAAGTGGGCTGTGATTAAAACAAATAAGTAATTATGCTAATTATAAATAAAAAGATAAAGAATTAGCACTATAAAAGCTCCTTCTGTGCTCTGGAGTGGCTTTGTTGTATTTACAGAGAGGAAGTTGATAATCATAGGGTAAGCAAGAGGACACCCTGGTGTTGGTGTAGTGCAGCACCCCCAGCTCTGCACGTCACTCTGAGATGGAGGTAGTACGGTGTCAGAGCTGCTTTTCCCAAGCAAAGCTCCATGATTCAGAACAGGTTCAGCTCCAGCGAGTAAGGTGCTGTCAAGCTATGAGAAACTGTGGGAGCCTTTCCATCTCTATGCCTGTCATACTGAAGCTCACAAACAGAGCTCTTTGCTGGCCCAGACTAGCTCAGTTTGGCCTTTACCACTGCTGGTAATGGCTTTTATGATCACCAGGTTTTAAGTAATAAATAAAACAAAGATGCAAGCTCTGAAGCTGTTGCACTGCAGAACAACCCTGGGGTGGTGACATCCTGTCACAATTGAAGCATGGCAGTCCTGCTGACTAGTAACTTATTACAAAAAATCTCTTTAGCAGCCTCTTCGTGCTCTATTTTGTGTAAAATGCTTGTATGCCAGTGGGACTAAAAAGCTGGGGACTCGCTGGGTCACGGGTGCTGCAGGGCCCTCTTTGTGACCGTGGCAGTGTGGTGCTGGGAGATATGTTAAGATCTGGCTCTCCCTGCTGCATCCATTATTGTGCGCTAAGCTATTTGGATTCCAGTGCTGTCCGTCAGTACAGTGCTGTTCCTAAGCCCTAAATACCCCACAGGCTCTTTGTCAGAATGTTCCTATTAACAACTTGGTGAAAATAAAGGGTGAGGGGAAGGGAAGGTGGAGAAATAAATCTTATTTTAAATCTCTTGAGCTAGTTTCATTTCAAATGGAAAGTTGCATGTGGACCACCCCAAGCTATTGTGCTGTGGACTGTCAGCTGTTTGTACAGGGAATCTGGGTAGAGGGTAAGAGTATCGTGCAGGGGAAGGGTGCACTGGGTTGTTTTTGTGCTGTATCCAGGAAGTTTCTAGCTCAGTATGAAGCTGGAATACATTGGCACACGTGGTAATCATTATGAGAAAAGAAAGGAACATTTAAATATGACAATTTGCTGCTTCCATTCTGTGGATTATGTTGGTGTCCAAGTGTTTTGCAGAGGTAGCTACATCTTGTAGCGGGATATGGGCAGATGAAGGGCAGATACCATTCTAGGGTACTCAGTGAGCTGTCTGCTAAGCTTGGACATGGTACTTGTGGTCCTGGTGGTCCTGGTACCTGGAACCTGCCTATGTGGTACGTATGGCTTCAGGAGGCTGGCTCTTAAATGTGGGGGAGGTGTTGGACTTGGAGCAAAATTGAATACCAGGCAACACGATGCAGGAAGAAAAGGGAAAACACTGCTGTATTTTTTGTTGTGACTGGACCGCAGATGGCAGGTAGGTAACAGCCTTCTGGGCCACCTTTTGCTTAAATAGCTTGGGCACTGTAAGCAGAGGAGGACTGACAGCAGTACTTGAACACAGACCGCAGGCATTCATGGAGCCCCCTCCTTCCCAATTTAAGGTCCTGCTGCTCTGTCTTCACTGTTTTATAAGCCAGTGTGTTCAAATACCAGCCAGCTTATAAAGGACTACAGGAGGCTGGCTTCTGCCTCAGCACTGTGTCAGGCTCTCTCCTGCCCAGGCCCACAGAGCCCCACCAGTTCATAGCCACTGATGAACAACAGGGAACCTGATATGGGAAATGTGTTGGAGAAGGAAAGAACCTTGAGGAGTTAAGTAACGCACATCTTTTCTGTCTAGCATAACTGTTAATGGTAACCTTTTATTATTGAAGGGATTGAAGTGACTAGAATCTGGTTGGCTTGTTGGGAGTGGTTGTGTGGCAATATAGCCTAATGTGATTGAAAAAGCAAATTGATAAGAAGAGGAAAAAAAACCACCTATGGAAGCAAGTCAAATGATGCCTCCTTGTAATTGTGATTCCAAGTAGCATTGCAGAGATTAACAGCCTGGCAGCCTTTTCATCTTAAATTTTATTTTTATAGGGTTTATGACTTGGCACTGAAGTCAAGAGTGGGTGGAAACTTGGCAAATGTGGTTCAGCCCAGAAAGTGGATGTTATTTATATTTACTTCTCACCAGGATTTCAAAAACACTTGGTTACTGTTTTTGAGTTCTAACAAGTAGTAATTTATTGGTTTCAGTGACTTATTCTCTGTATATTTCTTAAACTACAAAATAGTTGAGAAATTGTTTCAGCTTTCCTGAAGCTACTTGTGGAAGGACTTAAGATCTCCAAAGGGTGTAAATGTAGTTCTTAATGCATTTCCTTTCAGTAGAATGCTCCTATTATTTCATGTACACTGAACAACATCTTTATTGTATGTACATTAAGTTAATTCCTGATTCTCAAGTAGCAGCTGTACCTTTGGAATAATTACATTTGGTTTTCCTGGCAACAGTGTGCATTTAATAGCATTATTCAGGTACAGGCTCACCACAGAAACGCTCAGGTGATTATATGGCCATGTGTTTTCTGTGTGGGCCATGGTGCTGGATGGGGTCTTCTCCAGAAAGAACAGCCTTTCCTCCCTATGACCCTGCATGCCTTCTGTGCCTAATGCTTGGGAATGGGTACTTAATCAGTACTTAAGTAGGAATTGTTAGTACTTTCAGCAAACTGAAATGCTGTGTTATGTGTTGAGTAGGCTGCGAGAAATTTATGGAGATGGACAGTCATTTACAATAATGCTTGTGTATTGCAAGAATTGTACGGCATTTCATAGCTGAAACATCGTGCACAAATAGTTATAAAATCAGTTGAGTTGAAACATTGGCTTTTGAAGAAAGATGGAATAAGAATTTTATTAGAGATGTTTGATTTTTACTTATTTTTTTCATTAACAAGGATTTTATTGAAGGTTAAAGGTGGTTTTTTTTTTTTTTTTTTTTTTTTTTTCTCGAAAAAGGGAACAGGGAAGTAAAATATTTTGAAATAAAATTGCTGGGTAGTAATTTACCTAGTTATAAAAATGAGTACTTGCAATGTTCTGGAATGACAGCTCTAAAGACAAAAGTTGTGAGCGTCTGTGTTCTGGGCATCATTCCCTCCCTCATGAGAATTCAACCCTCTCTGTCTGAGATTAACTCTGAAAGGTGAAAAGAGCTGTCTTTCTGTTTAAAAGGAAACAGAAAGTCATCAGTAAATTGTCACCTTGAGTACTATGTAAAGATTCAAAGCTTTACGTGGATTAGGTCTTAAAAGAGTTCAAAATCCTTGTACCATTGTTGATCATTACACAAGTTCTGATTGTGTTACGTTATTTATCAAATAAATCCTCTCGTCTCATTTAGCAAGAGAAATATAAACATGAGAGAGTAGTTTGTTAGCTGCATGGTAGCAGTCCCTGGACACTTCTAGATCAATAGATAAATGCCCAATTTTGTGTAGTGAAGCTCGTGGTATCTTCAACTGTATAAAATGACTTTTGATTACTTAAAGTTATCTAAGTAATAGTTTTACTTTTTTATTTTATAAGCTTCATTTCCAATTTCAAATATTACTTGTAAAGGAAATTTGGTTTTCTAATACAGGCATTTAATTTGGCAGTTGCATGAAAAGGTGTTGCAGTATTACTGATGTAAGATATCTGAAAGGGCTGTAGCTGCATATATGATTACAATAAATGCATCTGGTCTGTAATGCTTCATTTTTTTTGTAATATAGTGTCACTTAAGAATAACAGGTTTTTGTTCAAAATTTATTTTTAAGATGGTAAAGCCATAAAATAACACTATAAACCAGTAAAAGGTTGCTGTCAGAATCAGTTTTCTGTAAAGTGGACACTCATGCACAGTTCCTTCAAGGTTTCCTGACAGAGTAATGAGGCTTTTGTTAGAACCATTGCTCTGAAATGTTCTCATTTGTGAATCAAGGATATGCATGGTTACGTAGCATGCTTTCAGGCAAGCAACTTGATTCTGCTGCAGTACATCTAGGTGAATTCACATTACCTGGTAACTTTATCTGCACATGATGCAAGGTAGACTTTATGTTGGAAAAAATATAATTGCCGAGTTTGTAATGAGAAGTTGTTCTATGAGCAGCATAGGGAATGGTCTGGTTTCCATTGAATTGGTGTGGGTGGATACTAATCTGGGTTTCTTTCCTTCAGCTCGATGCCAGTGATTCTGAAATTTTTTCCCTCTTTTAAAGAGTTACTCAATTTGATGACAGATTCAGAAGTTACTGACAGTGTGAGTGGAAATGTCTAAACTCGTTTCTTTAGGAAATGAGGCTGGAACAGACACCTGCTACCAGTTTTATGAGGAGGCTTCCTAAGAAGTTGAACATGTCTTGATTCTTGTTGCTCTTACTTGTACTGCTTTTGTTCTGTTTTTGAGTAGCTTTTATGCAAGTGCAGATTTGAAAACTAAATTGGGTGCTGTACACCTGGAGTAATTCTTACTCTAATGGTCCTCTTGTAAGTGCCAACTTTAATTGACAGCAAAATAATTTTTCTCTTTTAACAGTGGAAAGAGTGGAAAGAGAAAACCTTTCAGACTATTGTGTTCTTGGTCAACGTCCCATGCACTTACCAAATATCAACCAACTGGCAACTTTGGGAAAAACTAACGAACAGTCTCCTCATGGCCAAATTCACCACAGTACTCCAATCCGAAACCAAGTGCCAACGATGCAGACAATGATAAACCCTGGGCTCCTGTCTCCTCAGCTCAGTCCACAACTGGTGAGGCAGCAGATAGCAATGGCCCATCTGATAAACCAACAGATTGCCGTCAGCCGGCTACTGGCTCACCAGCACCCACAGGCTATCAACCAGCAGTTCTTGAATCATCCACCCATCCCTAGAGCTGTCAAACCAGAGCCATCAAATTCATCGGTGGAAGTCTCTCCAGATATTTACCAGCAAGTCAGAGATGAGCTGAAGAGAGCCAGTGTATCTCAAGCTGTCTTTGCAAGAGTAGCGTTCAACCGCACACAGGTATCCGTTTCTGTTCTATAACCAAGAAGTGCTGAGGGGTCGAAGTTGTGACTCTTGTGGGGCTGTGTGGTTGTTGCAGATCAAGGAAAGGTGTACGCCAGAAATAGGCCATACCATCCACCATTTTTTCCCGTCTCATTGGCATGATTGAGCAAGGCTGTGTATTCATAGAACAGCTGTTTGCTTGAAGTTGTTTACCCTAGTGCTGTTACCTGAGCTTTGTTCTCTAGTTATCGTTCTGCTGGTGTGAGTTCTTTCCTGAGTTCTTCTCTGTGGTTATAAACTTACACATCTGCTCCTGCCTGATGGCCAGGGAAAGGTAACAAGAGACTAAGGGAATCAGCATCTTTTAGTTTATGTCACTTTCTCAGTTCCTTCTTGTGGTAACTGCTGTTGATTGCACAACTACTGCTGAGGCTGGTGATACAGAAATGAGGAAGACAGGTATTCATAGGCCTAAAGGCAGTCTTGGTGCTGGCTGCATAAGAGACAATTGATTGCTGGAAAAGATGTCTGCCATTTGCAGCTGGTTTTCTCACTAAAATATTGGAACTTAGATGTTAAAATAATTACACAGCAGCATCAGCGTAAGCCTAGCACCTGGACTACCTTAGGTGAATGCACATTCAGAAATGCAGGCTGTTTACATTTATCTTGCTGCCAGACAGCGTTCAAGGCATACAAAACACAATTTCTGGTTGATGATACTCCTCCATAAGGATTGATAAATGGGGAGTGACATCATATTTAAATATCGGTACAATTTTCTTTTGTACAGTCAGAGCTGATCTTTGGGATTAGCTTCACCAGCAAGAGAAGACAAGGGCCATGTTTGTATGTGTCTGCAGGAGGTCTGACTGTCGAGCCATACAGTGCCTTTGTACGTTTTCCTGGATTAATGATTTTCTTTGGCACTGCCATTTTGGAAATGCCATGTTATGAGGGAACTAATTAAAGTATGGAGCACATTTTTATTACTTCCCTTTTTCCATTAAATTCATAAGATGGCTGCACTCCGAAAAAACATTCATGTTCAATCAGCATGTCTTTGAGTTCTGGGGTTAGCCTTGAGGATATCGAATGAAAACTACGTAGGAATGTATGAGTATTTCCTCTTTAAAACGCTGCTTTTAATTTGGAAAAGCTTTTCATCCCTCTGAGATCATAACCTGTTGTATATAAAGCCTTGTATAATCAAGGTAGATGGTATTGACAGAATGACATATTCTATACTTGAGTGAGAGCTCAGCATTAACCTTGCTGGTGAGGGTTTTGCTATAGTCACTGAACATGATGTTTTGCTTTAGTCGGACTGGGACAGATTGGTAATACCCAAATCTGTCACTAGACCACAAGTATATCCCTGTCAAGCTGTCAAACAAATTGTGTGTTAAACTGGCCGTTCAGCTGTAGTGTTTAAAAGGGGGCAATGTTTTATTCTGCGTGCCTAGGAAATCCCACGCCTCGCCTATCCCTGACTGTACACTCCACCTGACTTCTAAAGACAGCAGTGAAAAAGCAGGCATTTTTGAGAGACTACTCTGCTCTTTTTTAGTGATTTTACAGTTTTTCATCTATCTATGGTGTTTAATAGCAGCTGTGATGGAAATTATCCGAATACGGACTAAGGAAGCTGTAATATGTTTTTGTTGTTGTTGTTTATTTGGCCTATTTGTCCTGCACTGAGCCAGTGCAGGAACTGCAGGCTGTTGTCCTGCACACCACAGTGAAGAAAGCACTGCGCTGCTGCTGGGAGCTGTGGCAATGTCTCTCTGTGGTTCAGTACTTCACAAGTGTCTAACTGTTCAGATTGAGCTCACTCACTGGGAGCACAGACCTGAGCAGCCCTGAGTTGACAGGCCAATGTGATGTCCTTTGGGAAGGTGTCAGAGCACCTCTGCTGGGCAGGACTGCACCAGGAAATGGGATGTAATGCTCTGTCCTCCAACCAGTTTACACTTGAGACTGGTATACAAAATAATGTGTAATTCTTGGGTATTAGAATCACTAATTTTGTCTTTCCTTCTGTCCTGCTGATATTTGTCTCAGATTGCACGAACTTCTCTAGATTTCACTTGAGGGGGAAAAAAAAGATTGCTTCATTGCAAGTTACCAGACACATTTTTATATAAAAGGAAAGAAATTGTCTACTTCTTAGTCTTCCATCATACCTATGAATGTACCTGTACAGCCTGTGACAGTGATTCCAGAACAGGCTAGTCTCAAACATCCGTAAAAGTGTTGCTCATCTCAGAGCTGTGCTTCAGTAGTCTAAAAGATCAGTGAACCTTACATGCAGTGCATTACATCCTTATGACTTATCACTGCAGCAAAATAGTGTAGTTGCATATTTATGCATTACTGTCCTCAGCTTTTACTTTCAACTCAAATCAGTCTCCCCTCAGGCCAGAGGCTGTTACCCCAAGTAGTAAGAAGAGGTGCTCAAGCAGTCAGCTTTGCACTGCACTGTAGAAGATGTGGGATAATCCCAAACATCCATGGGGGGGAGAAGTGGAACTTCCTGAGGTGAAAGTTCTGCTTTCACCTCCTTTCATTCTCCTTTCTGAGTCTTGTCAGGAGACACAGGGATCTGTGCATTTCTCTCTAGAAATGCTTGGATTAGAAACTGAAGCCCTGTTATTTCTCATTATGATATCAAAGAATAGATGCTGTGTGCCAGCCAGCTAATAACTGTATTAATCACTGCGTTATGGGCCGCTGCTTAATTCTTCTTCATGATAGTTCTGCAGCACACGTTAGCCCATAATTAAGTATAGCTTCATGAAATATGTACTGTGAGACTTGCTTAATAGATAAACTATTCTCTAATTTATTTTCAAGTCCAATGACCTACATACTCAATGCTGAAAAACCCCTTCTTATGAACATTATTTCTCCCCCGAGACCTTCCATCTGAGCATATCTGTTAAATGAAGTAGAGGAAGCTTTGATCCAAACTAGGCTAAATCCATTGGAACAAATGGCTGACACATGTATGTATGCGTGTATGTGTGTGGGAAACGAGGATGGTCAGAAGATGGAGAGGTACAGTTGCATGATCTGTGAGACATCCAAACCGTCCTCTAAAAATTGGAAAGTCATAGCTTCAGACACGCTATTTCCTTATGCCTGTGGCCATGCTGTTGTCTGCACATGTGAAAATAAAGTGCTTTGGTTTCTGTCACAAATGCTGCGCATTTCCTAGGACACAGACCTGCCACTGCAGTCCCACTGAGGTGGGAAGCTCAGTACTTGCTCTGTGCCCAGGACTGCAGCACAGCATGCTTGGCTAGGAATTGGCTCTGGCTGTGTTGACCACAAAGAGGGATTCTTTCAAACAGAAAGTTCCAAAATGAACATTTTGAGATTTATTTGAAGTTGGATATCAGAAACCCTCGAAGTGCGAATAATTGATGCTTGGTGCCTCTCTGTGTCTTCTTTTTCCTTTATTGCGAGAGAATCAATGTCGCAGTTTTAATTCACCCTGTTGCAGAATCTAAATGCTTATTTATTCAGTGGTTTGGGACAGTTGGAAGAGAGTTCTTCAACCCCCACAGAGAATTCAGTTTTTGAAGGTTTTTAATGGCATTATTCCCAACAAGGGAGAAACTCCTACATAACCTTCAAAACATTTAAAATGATTGTGCCCACTAGCATTGTTTGTGTCACCTATGAATGGTGTGTGTTGGAAAGACATCCTCATAGGCTTTGTACATCCTCACGGATGCCAGTAGCACTGCATTTCTGGACTACAGCCATGGTCCTCCTATGTGAACTGTGGTGAGGTGCTATTCAAATTTGTCAGTGTGGTTTTGTAGCCTAAGGAGTGGTACTGGGACTGTTGTGCTGCAGGTTAGGGCTCAACTGAACTTGTGAGATGCAGGTAGATAGGAAAGAGCGAAAGGCTGGTTGTACTCCTTGCCTGCATTTAGCTGCCATCATTTCCTTCCCTCCAAGGTGACCCTGGGGACCCTCAGTCATACAGGCAAGGGAGTGGGTGTGGGTCAAGGCAGTGAAGGAAACTGGTTATGGTGAAGGTGTTCAGCAGCATTGCTGGGGCAAGAGATGCGGTTTCTTGCTCATGTAATTACTTCTAAGACTATGGACTTGCTCCTGGAGGAGAATACACACAGGATTTTTCAGCATCCTCTGGGGAGAGTCAATGTACTCCCTCCCTCTTGTGCCATAGTGTCTCCTAATGCAGCACCCAAGTTGCAACTGAAAGGCTGATATCACCAAAGCTTGTGGTATCACGAGTTGTAGTGTATTGCTAAGTGGTCATGTGGTGGTGATGGATACAGAGGTAAGAGAGGACTTGTTTAAAAGGAGTGCATGAAAATGCTCTTTTGAGTTCACCCTGTCCTTCTCTGATATGGTTGTTGTTGTTTTAGCTAATCTGAAGTTATTGAAGTAATCTCTGCTCTTCAAAATCTGTAGTTTTAAACCAGGACATTTGAATCCTGCTTTGCATGAGAAAAATTAACTTGTTTTCCACTTGTGCCTGCTTTCTGGGCATCCCTCATTGCTGCAGGTTCAGACAGAGGAGGACAGTCAGGCTGTTTTTGTAAGGGTCCAGACGCCCTATGTCACTGGATCAGGGAACCGCTTTGCTGCGCTTTGGGAGCACCCCATCGACTGAAAAGCCTATAGACTGAGTGTTTGCTGTTTATATCTTTTTTTTTTACGCATCTTTTTTTGCCAATGTTTTGACATAATAGCCAAAACTAGTAAAATGTTTGGGCGAATGGCCAGTGCTTGTTTTACTGAACAGCCTCGCAAACTGGGAATATCCGTGAACCTGAGGCTTTTTGAATGAAACAGTGGTGCCAGATACAGAGAGCTGGAGGAGCAGGCATGTTTGGGATGCATGTAACTCTTTTCCCAAAGAAAGTTGGCTGCATCTAGCTTTCTGTTCCTTTTCTCTCTCAATAGTTAGCAACGAGGAAGCATTTTCTAACATGTAGACCGGAAGGCGGGTCAGCTCCTGTGACTTGTGCTTT